GGAGAGGGAGAACATTGACATCCAGGGCAAGACTGTGATTGGCAAGCGCCTCTACGACAGTGTGCCTATCGACGTGAGTACCAGGGGGCCTTCTGCAGCTGCGGCCCTGGGGCCACGTGGGAGGAGCTTCAGGAGCTAGATGCCCCTGATGTCCTCCCACACCTGCAGGTACCATTTATCAAGTCTTCGCTCTGACTACCTTAGAAGGTGCTGTGGATTGAATATCCCCCCCAAACTCATTGAAACTTAAATTGTGACAGTGTTGAGAAGGAGAAATCCTCTTGTGATAATTGAAAGGTGGGGCCTTAAAGGTGTGATTAAGGTGATGGTTTAATGGTGGTCGTGGGTGTGGTTCTGAGGGCTTTAAAAGGAGAGCATATGAGGAGCTTTCTCTCTACTCTGCCATATTTGCCATGTGATACCCTGAGTTGCTGCAGTCACCACCAGGACAAGGCTCTCACCAGATGTGTTCCCTGGACTTTGGACTTCTCAGCCTCCAAAACTGCAAGCAAAAAATTTTGTTTTACAAATTACACAGTTTCAAGTATTTTGTTATAAGCAACAGAAACAGGCTCATACAGAAGGGAAGACACTGACTCAGAAAATTGCCGTATTGAGACTTGAATTCCCCATCATCCATTCATTCATTTGTTCATTTATTCAATTATTTGGTCATTCATTCAATCATTCATCACATATATACTGAACACCTAGTATGTGCCAAGCACTGTTCTTAGCATGGAGGCACCAGTACCCACAAAGGAGAGCAAGACCGACATGGCTCTGGCTACTTAAACAGTTCCAGAGAATGACAGCCCCTGGGTCTGCAAGGGTCACACACATGTACACATGCATATATGTAAGCATGTAAATGTAGGTAGATACATAAAGTTTCCTGTAATTTAAATACAGGCTTTCTCTTTGTTCCCTGATTGTAGAAAATTTGGAATTATAAAAAATAAATGAAAATCATCCTCACTGCACCAACCAGGCATTACAACAAGTGATAACTTGACATCTGTCCTTCTGTCATGATTTTGTCAATGTTCTTTCCTTCTTTTATTCTTTCTCTTCCCTCCTTACTTCCCTTCTCTTCTTCTCTTTTCCTTTAATTTTTCTTTCTTTTTTCCCTCCAGAAATACATACCTACATCTTTACACACAGAGACACATATGCCATAAGCGTGCATGTGCAAAATACACATATACACATGGCCTAGTGCTCCAGCTGTGCTGTCTAAGCATAGGTGACCCTTGGCTACCATGCCCACGAGTTTCCCCACTTCCCCAGAATTAACAGCAAACGTGATTTTAGAATCATGTTTAGCTCTTTCCAAAAACATTTCTTATATTCATATATACATAAACCTAATCGAATGTAGTGTTGTTGGGTGTGTGCTGGATTTTTTGAAATTAAGGTAAATGATGTACTGTGTGTATGGTTACAACTTGCTTTTGTTTTTTTACTCAAAATTATGTACCTAAGATTTTATTCCTTCTTTTAGCTAATTCATAATACTTTATTTTTCTACATTTTGCTTCTTCATTCTTCTGTTAGTGACACTTAGACTGTTTCCGATGTAGCACTGTCACAGTCAGCGAGCCTCAGGCCTTGAGCATGGAGTCACATCTCCGTGCACTTTTGAGAAAAATGTGAGTAACATCTGCTCTCTAGGCTCTAGCTATAGGTATATTGATAGCATTTCTCTAGGGCATGTACACCTGGGTTTAATGATTGGAGAGGAGGGTACACAATTTTTAACTTTCCCACAAATTTCTCTACAATGTGACATCTATATATTTACCAGCGATATATGAAAGTCCTATTTTCTTAAATACAAATACACACACACGTGCATGTGTACGTGTTTTATGCTTGTTGTTGTTGTTGTGCCAACCTGATGGGCATACAGGGGTTTTAGTGTGGTTTTCATTTGCATTTCCCTGATTACTGTTGCAGTTGGAAATCCTTCCATGTGTTCACTGATTGGCCACTTGGCTTCCCCTTGATAACTGGCAGCCCATATTCTTTGCCTATTTTACTACAGTGCTACTTTTCTTTTCTTAATGATTTCTAGATAATCTATGTTTTAGATACTGATTCCTTATTTGTTGTAAATATTGTAAATGTTTCATGGTCTGCCAAACACACACAAAAAGTGAGTAAGTTTGAGTGTGTCAAGATGTAAAAAATGGTGTCAAGATTTAAGAAATGGTGCTATGGCAAAAGACACCATAAACAAGGTTATAAGCTGTTTTATAGCTCACTTTGTTAACTAATCAATAAGTCATAAACATTCCCTGTGTGCACAGAATTTTAAAAACAAAGACGAGAGTGAGTTGGTCAGAGGTCCTTGAGAGAGAAGAGCAGGTTGAGGAGAAGGCAGGTGCATCACACGAAACCGTGGCTCCCACTGGCCCCGTCTCCAACAAGCGAGGGGACACGTGCATGTCACATGCTGCTTGTGATTGTCACACTTTGTCTGCTTATTTGTTTAATCTCTGAAATGGAAATCATGCCCTGTTTGTTTGTTTCTTTATGCAGTTGCTGAGGGGATGAAATATGAATATAGATGTAGAACCAAATTAAGCAAAGAAAGTAATAAAATCAAAGGAAAGCTATAAAAATCATTATTCAGACTTCTACTAATTTTAACTAATTGTGTAGATACCCTGTGCCAGGCACTGTACTAAAATGCTCCCTCACCTCATTTCTGATCGAATCTTCTTCACAAGACTGTCCCCATGTTTTAAATAAAGAAACTTTGGCTCAGCGAGGCTAAATTAATTCGCTCAATAAATACATATTTTATGTTATTCTTACTGAGGTATAACAATATACAATAAAATGCACAGATCTTAAGTGTATGCCTTGATGAGTTCTGTCAAATGTATACATTCATGTATTTCATGTAACCACAAAATATATCTATTTTAAATTGCCCCAAATCATCCATCTAGTCAGGGGTGGAGAGGGGGTGTAAATCCACACCCAGCAGCTCCCCCAAACCTGCGATGCATTCTCTGTGCACTGCAATCTGGTCCTTCCAGTCCACATCATCAGCAGCAACAGAACACCTGCTGGTGCCTTGTGCTTTGTGTGATCAAGTAGCCACCAACTGTCTGTCCTGGGAGAACACAAACCTCGTAATGGTGGCTGCCATCCCTGTCTTGTTCAGCACTTCTGACTGACATGCTGTAGGCTCTCAGCAGTGTTATGCATAATGAATGGAAAAAGATCACTGATTCAAGGGAACCTATGGTCTCCTATGGAAGAAAGACTCACACTGAGGTCATTTCAGTCCAGTTAAATGAACTTCACAATAGAAAGAAGCAGCAGATATTATAGGGCCCAGAGGAGAGATCGCCAACCTCGATGAGCAGGGTAAATATAGGCGGGAAGGGCAGAGGTGGTGGACATGGGTGGCTTCCTGGAGGAGGTGACTCCTGGGATGAACCTTGAAGATAGAGTAGCATTTGTCTGTGCAAAGAGCTGGAAGCCATGAACTAGAACACAGCTTTGTGTGTGCAGCCCTGTGAGCTGGTGGGAGCTTGGCTGCAGGTGTCAGGTGAGGCAGCAAGGAAGGCAGGCCAGGCCTTTCCACACACAGGCCTGGGGATCAGCTCATGGGGGAAGCAGAGCCAGAGCTGGGAAGGGTTAAGGCTGGCCCTAAGGAATGTCTTGGGGCTGCAGAGAGCAAGGTGGATGTGAAGAAGGAGGAGGAACTGGGGGGCACAGAGCCTTGTTGGGAAAGGATGAGAGAAGCCGCGGGTCTGTGCTGGGGCAGGGTCCGTGTGTGGGGAGGCGGGTCCTGGTGAAGGTCGCCAAGGGAGGAGGTGCAGTGAGTTGATGGGCATCTGGACTGATGGACAGGGTGCCAGTCCCTGACTTCGGGGATCTCCTGGGGAAGGGAGGGGACTCTAGTCATGGGGTGTGGAGGTGTGTTCCTGGGCAGATGGGCCTTGGGCCTCAGGCTGGAGCTTATTGGGGAGGCTGAGATGCTGAGGTCCCTTCCCCCTGAAACATCCCCTCCAGGGCCCCTCTGCTTCTCTTCCCATTTCCTGCTCTTTTCCCCAGAAGATGGGTTGGCTGGGCTGAGAAGCCATCACCGCCCAGGAGCCTGAGGGATTTCTCCAAGTGCACACTCTAGCTCTCTGACCATTTCCTGCTGGCCTCATGTCCTGGGTCAGCACCCCTTGACCTCAGGCACAGACCCTGCATAGATTGAACAGTGAGCACGTGAGTCACCACAGCACAGCTAGCGCTTTGCTGTGTGCCTGCCTCAACTCTCTTCAAATCCCTGGGAAGTCACCTGCCCCCATTCAGTGAGGAAATTCACACAGAGAGATTAAATAACTTGCTCAAAGTTGCACAGTTAATAAGCGGTTCCCAGTCTGTTTTTAAGCTCAATGCTTTACTTTGAGTCTGAGCGTCTAGGTCTCTGTCCTTACTTTTAGACTTGATAATTACACTGGGCCAGTAATCGGGCCCGTGTTTTCAACAATGCAGACTCTGAGGACTCGAGTGGGTCCTCGTCCCCTCTTTTCCCCACGGGCATTAACTGAGTGTCTATTTGGTACCAAACTCTGGGGCATCCTAGAACCTCTGACACGCATCTGTGGAGTGCTGCGCCCGCTTTCTGTTCCTGCTGCATTTGTACACCGAAGACAAGTACCAGTGACATATGTGGAGGAGGACCAATGCATTCTCTACCCCTCAGTAAAATCTTCCCAAAGCTTCAGCCGGCTGCTTGTAACCACCTGGTTCAGGGCATTAAGCACTGTGGAGAGAGACACCAGCCTTCCTAAAGCACCATCTGTGGCTGACATTGTGTCCTTATGGGCCCTGTCTCCCTTGATCTCGCCATAGCCCTCTGAGCTGTATCTGCATCTGACAGAAAAGGAAAGTGAGGCTCAGGGGAGGGAGGTGCCTTGAGCAGCTGACATGAGTGATCTCAGACTTTGAGCTCTCTGTGCTCCCAAGTGGTTTCCAGTCTGCAGCCAGCAAAGGGCCACTGTGCCGCTGAGGGAGGGAAAGGAAGGAGCCGGGAAGTAGGAGATGGCCCCTGCAGTAGTCCGGCCCGGATGGCTGAGGGCGATCCCTGAGCAGGCTTCAGACAGGAGTCGGGAGCAGAGGGCTCCCGAGGTGGAATCCCTGGGCTTGGGAGGCAGGGGAGGGCGAGGGAGGATTAGGATGGCCAGGGGAATGGTGTGATTGCTGGCCCCTGGGAAGGGGCCCCTCCCGGTACCCGGGTCCCGCCATCCCACCTCAGCCCAGGCCCCAGGCGGGCTGTGCTCTGTCACACCCTGACTCCCCCGCCTCCTCCTCCTCCGTCGCCATCTCCGCGGCCTTGCCAGATGGGCCCAGCCGCTGGGAGTGCATGTTGCTGATGAAGAAAGCAGGACTGTCTCTGGAAGAGAGGCCTTGTTCAAAGTCACAATTTTGTGTTCTGTCATTTTCTCCTGTTTCTGAGCTGGTGTCTCTACAGGAAATAAAACAGACGGATGAATGGAATTGCTATCGTTTCTGCTGAAGTCTGCGGGGTGAGGGGTCCGCTTTGACAAGCACTCCAGACAGCCAGGAGGGGGGACCAGGCAGCTGGCCCTGCACCTTGTCAGCTGGCTGAGGGACTCCTGAGTCCAGCATGGGCCAGAGTGGGGCACGGGGAGAGCATCCAGTAAAGGAAGTGTCCCTGCCTTCCTTGATTCAGCTCAACTTCCTTTTGATAAACATCCATACATTCATTCACACACACATTCAGCCCTGATCCTGTGCTTAGGGGACGTCTACTATGTGTCAGGAACTTCTCCAGTGCTGGGGCACAGTCAAGGAGAAGAGGCAGGAGAGGCTTGCCCTCAGAGTTTATGTTCTAGTGAGGGAAACACTTACAAAGTGAACTAAGAAACATATACACCATGACCTGTCATGGCAAGTGCTGGTAGGAGGATGTACAGGACAGTGGGTGTGTTGGAGTGACAGAGAGGGTCTGGCATGGATGGGGGGCCAAGGACATGAGAGGAGAGAGGAGGCAGCCATGGGAAGAGCAGGAGGAGATGTCATCCTGGGCGGTGGGGACTGCGAGACCTGGGCACATGGGCAGATGAGCTCGGCATGCTGGAGGACATGGTCAGGATGGGGACATGAAACAGCATGGCTGAGGGGGCGTGAGCAGAGTTGTGGACAGGGTTAGGGGGAGCTGGAGCCATGCCATGCACCATGCAGAGCCTGGGAAGAGCTGGGGTTTATCCAGAGCTCCCTTCCCCCTTGTGCCGGGAACCCCAGCCACATGTGCAAGAAGGCAGTGGGCCTGGGATTCGGTCCCTGCTCTCAAGAATCCTGGAGCCCAGAAGGAAGACGGACACTGGCATGTAATTACCTCTCAGTCTGCTTTGTTCTGTGTTAGGTGTGTGTGCAAGGAGCAGACATGGCAGGAAGAGGTCTGCTCAACTCTTATCGACAGAAGAGGGAAGTGTGCCCGTTACTTGTGGCTGTATAACACCCCCCCACACACACACCTCCCAAGAGGAGCAGATGAAAAGACAAGCATGGATTGTCTCATGGATTCTGTGGCTTGGAAATCTGGGAGCAGCTTACTGGGTGGTTGTCCCTCAGTGTCTCTAGGGAGGCCGCCGTCATCTCAGCTTAAACAGGGCTGAGAAACCCACCTCCAGGCTTGCTTGGGTGAGTGTGGGAAGTCCCCTGTGGGATGTAGAACTCAAGGCCTCAGCTCCTTTCTGGTTGATGGTTGGAAGCCACCCTCATTCCTGTCCACATGAGCTTGTCCACAGAGCAGCTCACAGCATGAGTCAGTGTCCCCACGAGTGAGTGATCTGAGAGAGAGAGAGACCCAAGACAGAAGCCAGTCCTTTTATAACCTGATCTCAGAAGTGACATGCCATCACTTCTGCCATATTTTATTGATGAGAAGCAAGCCACTAAGTCCACCCTGCACACAATTGGAGGAGAATTAGGCTTCATTTCTTGAAGGGAGGAATATCGGAGAATCCATGGAAATATTTTAAAAACAACCGCAGAAGGGGGTGCCTGACCATGGTTTTGGGAGGTGACTAGGAGATTGCTCACCATTCAAGGGCTTTCCTAGAAGGGGGACCACAGGTGAAGGCATGACTATGGACAATGCAGGGTTTCTGTGTGGCTCACTATGAGGTCCTGTGTTGCAGAGTGCAGAGGGACACCTGGGGAGCCAGGCAGAGCCAGGCCCTGGAAGGTTGGAGAGTCCCACAGAAAGACCTGGGCTTTACCTGTGGACTGTGTGTGTGAGTGTGTGCACATGTGTGAGTGTGTGCATGTGTGTGCACGTGCATTTAACGCCACAGCACCTTTAAGCTTTACATTTTTTATGTTTTAAGTATTTAAGGGGCTGTGGTCTTAAAGGTAGTGATAGAAGCAAATTTTTATTTTAAAAGGTCACTTAAGGCCCGAGCCCGTGGTGCACTCGGGAGAGTGTGGCGCTGGGAGCGCAGCAGCGCTCCTGCCGCGGGTTCGGATCCTATATAGGGATGGCCGGCACCACTCACTGGCTGAGCGCGGTGCGGCCGGTCTCAAAAAGGATGAATAAAAAAAAAAAAAGGTCACTTAAGCAAATGTGTGGAGATACGTGGAGAATTTGAAAACAGGTATACATTGAACCTTTGAAGACTGTTGCAATAGCATCATTGAGGGCTGTCATTAAATGCAGTAACAGTGGAATGGGGAGGGGCAGGTGGCGTGCCTGTGTGTGTGTGCTTGTGTGTTTGTGCCTGCGTGCGTGTGCCCATGTGTATGTGTGTGCGACTGAGGGCAGAGGCTGTGGCTCCTTCAGAGTAGAATTGCACGTGAACTTGAAGATGGGCCATGAACCTCCCTTGCTGTAGGGCTCACTTTTGGAGGTGGGGGTGTAAGTAGATGATGCTTAGGCTCCCTGTGAAGCCCAGCAGTGGGGCTCAGGGCAGTAGTGAATCGGATGGGATCAGGAGGGGCCCTGGGGAAGAAGTGGGACCTGATACCTGGGCAGGACCTGTCAGAAACCGTGGAGGTTTCTGGGTTTCAAAGTTCCTAAAACTCATCCTTTCTCCTTATTTTCCATTCCAGTTTGACCTGCAGCGGATTGTGATCTACTGTGACTCGAGACATTCAGAACTGGAGACTTGTTGTGACATCCCCTCTGGCCCGGTGAGCAGGGACGTTTGCACAGAGAGGCTGGGAGGACCTGGATGTGTGGGCTCCAGAGGGAGGCAGAGGTCATGCCCACCGTCAGAGCACGGCCTGAGAGGGAGCCCAGTGATCATTGCTGGGATTCTAACTCGTGGCTGGACAGGATATGGGTTGTAGAGTAAGTCATGCGGGACCTCCCAGGCTGGGCGGTCTGGGTCTCTGTCAGTGTGACCTGAGGCTGCTTTCCTCTCCAACCTCCCCTACCCTCATTACCAAATCCTAGTTCCGAAGCCCACTTGAAAGGTTGGAACAGTGGTCAAGCCTGTCCCTAGGGCTGGAGGGTGAAATCCATGTTCAACGCTCACCCAGCATGCCCATCTCAGGACTCTATGGCACGCAGGTATACAGCAGGTGCCGGGGATATGTAGCCAGATGGACCTGGTTGTGAAGACAGAGGGTAAGGGAAGAAAGGAGAGGGATGAGGAGGAAGAGGAGGTTGTGAGGGTAAGGAGAGAAGGAATTCTTGAGGCCCTATGGGTGTGAAACCCTGAGGTGGAACTTTTCCCATGTTGTCTCATTAAATCCTCCTCATGATGTTGCGATGGAAATGCCCTTGTCCCCATTCTACAGAGGGGAACACTGAGGCTCAAGGTGTTGCTGAGCCAGCTAGTGAAGTGGCTGAGACCGGGCTGGCCAGGACATCTGCTTCAAGGCCCTGGGAGAGCCAGGATCCTACTGTCAGATTTGACCTTCCCTCCCACGCCACACTCAGGTGTTGGCATTTTCTGGTTCTCTTTTGCCTGCCTGGATCTGGGGAAGCTCCAGAGACTGTGCCCCTGTCGGGGTGTGGTTGCTGAATGAACAGCCAGGTGTTGACCCACTGGGCTTTCCTTCCAGTGCCAGGTGACCGTGGTGACAGAGCCTCCACCCCTGCCCCAGCGGCCTCCCACCCCCGGCAGTGAACAGATTGGATTTCTGAAGACCATCAACTGCTCCTGCCCACCTGGAGAAAAGGTACCATTTGCAGTCCACCCTCAGCTGCCAGCCCAGAGCCCCAGGGAGGTGGGAGGTTCCCATCATGCACCTGCCAGGGCACAATGGCCCCAGGCCCTGGATGACTTTCAGCTGAGAGCACTGTTCCTACTCCTGGGACCTCTCGTGTCTTGATTTTTGTGCACACCGGAAGGGGAGATCCTCAGAAGCAGCTCTGATTCACATTTTCCTGACACCCCTGAGGTTTTTCTGCTCTGACTTGTGCCATCTCCACTCAAGTGCAACTAAGTCAAGCTAGATTTACTTTCAGAATGAGAAGACAACGAATGCGGATTTAGACACGCTCTGCTGGCGCACACCCTCATCCCTTTCTTCCCGGTGCTGCCTTTCACTAGCCACACTCTACAATCTGAATGTATGCATGACTGGAGTTTACGTACTCATTCCTGGGTTTAAAAAGCATTGCATTTCTATGAATACCAGCATGGCCATCCATAGCCTAGGTTAAATGTCTCATTGTGTGCCTGAGGCTGTGATTGGTTCTCTTTTTCTGCACACCAGTGGCCCTTTGTAAGAACAAAGAAATTTTTTTTCACTATCTGAGCAGAGGGAAGGTCTCCATGAGTTCTGCTGGCCTGATAGCCCAGGCCCTTAACCTCCTGTGTGTGGTTGTGACCTTCCCTGTCTGCACCTGCAGCCTGGTGTCTGCAGGTGGGAAGTGCTCAGAGACCCTTCTAGGGACTAGGGGTGCACAGACCAAATGCTGAGAGGATGGCTGGAGTTAACTGGAAGGCACATGCTTTAGCACTTTGGTAATGGTTTTCTTTCCATAAACCTGTCCTGGAGGTCTCCTCCTCCTCTTCTTCCCTTGCTCTGTTCTCCTTCACACCCTCTGTGCCTCTTTTTCTTCCACTCAGAGCGCCAGAGCCTGGGGAGGCAGGGAGCCCTCAAGAGCTCTCAGCCAAGTGGGGTTGGCATGTGCTGGCCCAGCTTACAGGAAGGCCAAACTGGCAGCCAGCTCAGTCATGCTGTGAGCCGAGGTGTTTTCGGGGCAGTAGGTGAAGTTAAGGTGCGCCCCAGCCCAGCCGGGTGCCCGGGTTAGGGATGGCAGGAGGCACAGGGAGGAGCCTGGGTGGGCGCACGCAGCGCAGGGCAGCCGGCTCCTCCTCCACCCACCCCTTGGCAGGCGGAGGTCTGCGGCAGCCCATCTGTTGATCTGCTTCTCACATGTCAATGAAATAACAGAAGCAGCTGTCTAAATTCAAATCCTTTTGAATCCTTGTTTTCATTGAAGAACCCCAAATGAGAAGAGAAACGGCATTGTGGTGTTTTGGCCACTAGCCACCATGCACACAGGCAGACTCCGTGCCAGGTAGCATGGCCAAGACCAGCTCTGCCCAGGCCAAGGCTTTCCACAGAGCCAGGCCCATGCGTGGATATGTCCCACGAAAGCTCCTGTGGTCTCTGGAAAGGACCCCAGGAGGGAAGTCTGGGCCCTAGCCAGCCTTCCCCTTCCCTTTCCCGTCCATCATCCCACCCTCCAGCCACAAATGCCCTGTGGCTCCCCACTGACCCCCTTGGTGTGACTTAAGGACACTCTTTCCCTCCTCTGCTTCCACCCTGCGTGACCCATGTTGGGTCCCCTGTTGCCTTTCTAGCCTCATATCACTCCACTTTCCTCCTGCCAATTTCCAGGCCAGGCAGGAACTTCTGGTTCCTTGGAGTGTCATGATCTTTCTTGCTTTCTGGCATTTACGTGTGCAGCATCTTCCGCCTGGAGCATCTTCCCCCACCTACCTCCTTTACCTGGCTGATGACAACTCTTCTTTCAAGACAACCTCAAGGAATCTTTTTCCGAGCACATCATCATCACGCAATCTCCCTCTTCCCTCCCTCCCTTTCTTCTTTCTTTCCTTCCATTATTCACTATCCACTCATTCTGCAACCACTTATTCAGCACCTGCTGTTTCTAAGATGTGACATTCATTTTCTCTTCCTGTGCTTTCATCCTTCATGACAATGACCATATTGCTTATAAATGTCACCTTGTCTTTACTTCCATACATTTGTAAGTTACAGATCGGGCCTTCACATGTCTGTATTTTCAGCTTTTAATGTATAGCTTGCTCCACAAAAGCTATTAAGTAATGGCTGAATTAACAGATAAATGGATCGGGGTCTGAAGAGATGGACAAATGGGTGGGTGGATGGACAGAAAGGAGGGAGAGATGAAGGAACGCACCCTGTCTTCCGCTTGGCAGGACAAGGTCACTCAATAGCCCGTTCCTCGATTCACTACCTCATTCCTTATTTCTGACCATTAAGCACCTGCTGTCTGCTGTGCCCTGTGCTGTACACTGAGGTGTTTAAGACAAATAGAATATTGCCTTCAAAAGCCCTGCAGTCTGCTATCTGGTTAGCGAGCCTCCCCTCAGGTCTGCTGGAGCACTTCCCACGCACAGGTGGGTGGAGGGGGGCTGCTTCTCCACTCTCCTCCCCACCCCCAAAGGCTCATGGAAGATCTTCACAATACACTCCTGAAGCAGGTGCCGCTTCTGCCTCCTACATCTTCATTTCTATCAAAGCACAACACAAGGGGCCTAGGAAGTCTGAGACTTCTCTTCCAGGAGGCAGAACTCTGGCCCCAGGCAGGCTTTGTTTCCAAAGGTTTAAACCTTCAAATCAGTTTGCAAAACATTTTTTTTTTTTGTTTGGCTGGGTCAACATGATCCATATTTACCATCTCTGTAACCAAACCTCCATTAAGGCATTCTGGTGGACATTAGGCGAGGTCAAATACACACAAAAAAAGACATTTTCAATTGCATATGCAAAGACATCTGTGGATGCATTTTAAAAGATAGATGCTCTTGAAGTAGCAAGTGCATAGCCGTGAACAATGTGCAGATTGCAGCTGGTGGTGGTAACTGCACACACGCAAATGGATGTGCTGTCACTTGTCACCTTTGTTTGCCTAAGTGTGATATTTCCTCATATAAGATCATGTGAATCGTGCTGCATTTGTTTTCAGTATGGCAGTATTTAGGGGCATCCACAACTTACAGATCACATTTTTAAATTGGTAACAAGATTTTTACACATTAAGAAAAGTGAACAAAATTTACATTTAGAGTAGCTTGTAGATGTTTTGTATTTTAGTGAACAATAATTACAGGAACCTATAGCAGGCAACATAAGTTTCTTTTTAAGCGAAGTGATGTTATATTCAGGTAAAAATAGCCCTTGCATACCACTTTTTTGTTTTATTTACTTAAACAAATAATAATTGCATGCACTTGGGGGTACAGAGTGATGATACATGTATACAGTGTAAAATGATCGAATCAAGCTAATTAACATATTCATCACCTCAAATACTTATTACTTATTCCCCCCAACTGAAACGTCTTATCCTTTGACCAGCATCTCCCCATTCTGCACACTCCCCAGCCCCCGGTGACCATGCTGGTCTCTGCTTCTATGTGCCTGACTTTTTTAGCCTCCTCGTACAAGAGAGAACGCGCGGCACTGGCCTTTCTGTGCTTGGGTTTGTGTTTTTCTTTTACCTGCCATTGGCTGCACCGAGGCTATGTCACGTTCCCCACGTAGGATGGCAGTTCAAGAACAGGAGCTCTCAGCTCCAGCAAAGCAATTCCTTGTCCACCTCGTCGGTCAGCACTTGGCTGTTGAGAATGTGGGGTGCATAACCAACTAGTGATGAAAGAAGGGGCAGAGTCAAACAGAGCCTCACTTGTTTCATTTTGTCTTTCTTCCTTTAGGGTGAAAAGGGCTTTGATGGCCCTGTGGGACTCCCTGGCTTGAAGGTCAGTACCAGCATGGCAGAGGTGCAGCTTCAAACCTGAATGATCCTTTGCCTTGCCCTCTATGCAAGGAACAAACGTGGGGGGTTAGATCGCGGCCCTGCAGTGTTTGCTGCAGAACAGCTTGAACTAGAAGGATAAGAGTGAAGTGAGTCTCTCAGCTGCTCAGAACCTCCATTTCTCAGTTCGAACATATGAGCAAGAAAGGGTTAGATCGCCCGAGCCTTGGCAAAGAGCTTGTTTGCTCCAACGCCTGCATCTCCACGGTTACTCAATTCTGCATCAATCCTTTTTGCTGTGTTCCAGAAACTTTCTGGGGTTGGGCTTTTAAGATTTGTTTAGATTGCATGAAATTTTTTTACACAACATTTCCAAACTCACTAACTGCACAAATCCAGGTGCTCCCTGGGGGGCTCTCCATCCTCACCCATGGAGCCACCGCCCCCTCTCCATTTGTCCCCAGGTGTATAATGTTTACAGACCTGGGTGGGGCTGTCTTCTCCCCTCACTGTTCTGGTCTCAGAAAACAGACCCACAGAGGTGCTGGTAGTTCATGGTCACACAAGGCTGAGTGGAGACATTATTGTGTGGCTGTCACCTGGTCTGGTGTTTGGAAGAGGAGCTGAGTGTGGTGGGGAAACACCTGGAGACAGCTCTCCCTTCACCTGCTCCTTCTGCCTTCCCTTTCCTGTGCACAGTGTCCCCAGCAGCACTCTCCCCTTCCCCACTTCTCTCCCCTCTCCTGTCCTACCCCACCTCTGCCTTCTTTCTGTCTCTATCTCTTCCTCCCCCTTTCTGTTCCCCTCTCCTGTGTTTCTTACTTTCAAAGTCATTCAGTGTGTCATTATTGAGCACCCACTGAGGGCCAGGCGCTGAGGTCCACACCAAGGTCATGGGTGGTTTGGACAGGGCCCTGTCCTCAGCGCCTGAGTCTGGTGGTGTAGACAGACCTGCGTACAAATAGAATCTATTTCTTCTCGCCGACCTCTGTCTCGCCTTCCATCCTCTTCTGCTGGATTCCAGGGACAATGACTGTGCACCTGCTGTGTGCCAGGCTTGGACTAGGAGCCTCCCTGTGTTGTAGACAGCAAGAACAGCAGGCTGAGGACAGCCTTTGCAGGGCTCTCTGCCATGAGCACAGGTCTCAGCACATGCCGGCAGTGAATCTTGTTGAATGAATGAAGTCAAATCCCACATCAACCCTGCATGAGGGCCACCGGCTGTCCCATTCTACAGATGAGAAGATTGGGGGCCAAGGAGGGTCAAATGACTTGCCTGAGAATTTCTCTCTTCTTGTCCACCTTTTGGGTGGACAGTCTTTCCCCTTCTGCCACCTTCCTCATTTCTTCTCTCTCCTCTTCTCCGTCCTTCTTTTCTTTCTCTCTTCCCTTCCTCCCGACTGTATGCACCTCTTGGTCTCCTCCCACACCTCATGCCCTTCTCTCCTTTGCTAGGATGGGAGTGTGAGCACACGCACTCTCACACATGTGCACACACACATGCTCACACATACTCATGCACCTACACACACTTGCACACATGCACACACACCCCACATACACACTCACACACATATGCTCTCACACATGCACACACTCACACATGCACACACTCACACATGCACACACTCACACATGCACACACTCACATATGCTTTCACACATGCACACACTCACACACACGCACACACACACAAGCTCACCCACATACACACACACAAGCACACAAGCACACTCACAGACACATACACACTCACAATGCTCACACACACCTTCACACTCAGACATGCTCACACACATATCCATCCTCACACACATACGTTCACGCACATATACACACACACTCACATTCCCTGCCCGCTCAGTGCCCCTCCCTTGGTGTGTCCCCTCCTTGTGCTGGTGGAGAGCAGCTCAGAGTTGTCCAGGGTGCCAGGTGGTCACTTTGAGGAGAGCAGGGGTTTCTGCCTCTCTGAGCACCCCTGGGCTGTAACCTCAGATTCTAGGCTGTCAGACAAAAGAGAAGAGCAATGATATCTGGGGGCTTTGTGGACCTATACGTAGCAAATGTTCATCTGAAACAGTGGCTGTGCCTCTGCTGTGGTGGAACAGATCTGAGGTCATGTGGGTGGCAGAACCCCGAACCCGACAGGAGGAGAGAAGAGATGGGCAAGAGGAGGGGGTGGATACAGCTGCCCAGACACGATCCTCACCCCACATAGCTGATTTGAAATCCTGGTCTAGAGCGTCACTGTCAAATCATCCCAACCCACAGTTAAGACTCAACAGCTGTGGTTCTTAGTGGTTCCATTTTCCTACATAGAGCTCAGGTCTGTCCACATGCGTAGCCTGAGGTCTCCTGGGTGCCACGGCCCATTTTTGATGCATGGATGTAAAAATGAGTGACAGAGAGCCCTGTCCCCAGTACTCACAGGCCAATGGGAAGGGAGATTTGAAAGAGGCACGTGGAATATAGTGTGGAGAGAGCCGAGGTGGAGGAGGTCCAGGAACCTGTGGGGCTGAGAGGACAGAGCCCTGCACTACCTGGGGAGGGCCTCGGGATGCCTTTTTGCAGGAGGCCCTGCCTAGCTGCATTCAGTAGGACACATAGGAGCTGCCCAGGATAGATAAGGCAGGGAAGGGCCTGAGAACAGGCAGAGGGAACAGTGTAAGCAAAATAGCCACATGTTCTTAGAGTATAAAGAATGAGACAGGAATGGGAAGAGATAAAACTCCAGCCCAAGAAAAAAGAAAAAGATAATATATAGGACTGAGGGCACCTGTTTTCTGCACCCAAACCAGTCTTGCTCATGGGATGGCAGGTGATCTGGGTTCCAGTTCCACGCTCCGCCTGTGCAAACCTTTTCCTCCCATGTGGGAGCTATTTTCTCCTCTGCCTCCCCTCCTGCTCTTTCTGGACAGCTGTGAGGGTCCAGGGTGCTCAGGGCACCGGTTTGTTATGCAAGGTGAATGATCAGGTGGCTCCGGTCATCCCCTGGCAGTTTTCACAGCACCATTTTGCTCTTAATTGTACGCGCCCTCATGACAACATGCCCGTTTCGTGGAGGAGGAGGCCAAGGCCCAAAGAAAGAAACAATGTGCTCATGTTAAGTGGCAGAGCTGGTGTTTGAACCTGGGGCTTCTATATGCCCTGCTGGGGCCCTGGCCGCTGGGTCTACACTTGGGATATTCCCAAGGATGAGCGCCCAATGCTCTTGTGTACCCACTTTCTCAAGGTGTCCTTAGTTCCTGGAGTTGTGATGTTGGGGGATGGCTTAGAAGCTTCCTTCCTCTCCAGGGGTGATGCGCGGCCCCACCGTGCAGCTGGCAAAGACAAAATCAGCTGCTTCTGGAGAACTGGAGCAGGGTTGGCCTTGGGCAGCCTGCGTGTGCATGAGCCCTGTTGGAGGACCTAACCCAATGATTGTCTTCGGTTTCAACCCCTTAGGGAGACATGGGAGCCACTGGGCCTGTCGGTGCTCCTGGACCCAAGGGAGAGAAGGGCGACATGGTGAGTAGAGCTGCTTCTGCGTGCGGCTGAACCGCATGGCTGGTGTGGAAGACCCACCCCCTCCCCACTTCACCCTCAATCATGCAAGTCAGGGTGTGGGCTGAATGCCTGGTGGGTGCCAGGCTCATGCCCACCCATCCTTGGGATGGAGCCCACACTCCCCTCCTCGGGCAGGGGAGGCCTCCTGCTGGGCCACTTCCACCCCCAGAATTCTGTGCTTCCAAATCTGCGGTTTTGTTCCCCCAAAGTGGTCCTTTTGTTGTGTATTTTCTCACTGTCCATTACACAGTCTCTTTCCTCTGCTAAGAATAATGCTTCCTCCATCCCCACCACCCCTTTCTGTGTGGCTCATGTGTTCTCACCATTCAAACTCAACTGTGTCTGTCTCTCTGGGATATCCCTCCGACACCCCGGCTGCGTGCTCCCCCATCGCCGGCACATCCTCTCCTCCATCTCAGCACCAGGTGACTCCCAGGTGTCCTGGTCTGTGATTTATCATTAGAGCATTCCCAATACTCATGAATCTTTCAGCTGATGGTGGGTCAGGAAAGAATTACAGAGATGAGCAAGTCACAGTTCAAGGTAGAGCCTCAGGAGCCAAATGTCTGGGAAGCAAATTCTGGCTCCACCAAGATACTTAACTTTTCCATCCTCAGTTTCCTCATCTGTGCAAGGGGATGGCAAGACAACCCATCCAGTAGCATTTTGAGGATTAAATGAGTCGACACTCACAAACAGTTCAGAACGGAGCTGAGCACACAGCAAGTGCTATCACTGCTGCTGCAATTGCCTGGCCTGGTGGAAGCGAGAGCCCTCCGTCCCCCAGCACAGCATCACAGAGTATCAGTAACACAAGTTTGGTGGAGATGCATCTCAGAAATTGTTCTTGGCTTCAGCCTTTATTATCCGTGTGACCTTGGGCAGGTCTCCTAACCTCTCTGAATGTCTTATTTACCCCACTAGCAAAATGAGGAGAATGACAACTACTTTGTTGTAAAATGCAGGGCCCATAGCAGATGGTCGGTGAATAGACAGTTGTCTTTTTGGTGTGTGTGATTATAATTAGTCCCTTCTAGGTTCCCGGTGCTCAGGGGGAAACCCCAATCAACAGGGCAAAGTCTCTTCCCTATAAGAATCAGCCCGGGCAGTGCAGTCCACTCCATATCCCACACTGCCACTGTCCCTTATCCTTGTAAGGCCATCTGCTCTTCTTCACAGGCGCTTATCAGGATTCTCTCACTGACTCCTTATGACAGCTTTTAACAAAGTCTTGTCACGTCTCTAATGGGAATGACACTGATTTTTCAGACCTGAGTGACCTTCCTGTGACCACAGAGGCTGGTGTGGCAGAGGCAGCATTTGCACCTGCATCTGTTTCATCCGAGCCCTGGGCTCCTTTTGGTGCACTTCACCTTTCGCCACACTAGGCTTGCTGCGTATAGGTGACAGCACCTGCTGTGTGCAGAATGACATGGAAATTAAGAGGAGCCGGGTATGTTTAACAGTACCTACTGTGTGCCTGGCTCTGTGTTACCTGCTTTGAAGATCTGGGGCTCATTTAACTCTCACACCAACTTGGTGAGGTGAGGCCTAGTGAAATACCTAGCTTACAGGTGAGCAAACAAGCTCAGAGAAGTGTGGTAACTTACAAGAGTGTGGTTGATAGGAACTCACTTGGCATGCAGGAGGTGTAGGAAGTGCCAGGCCTGTTCCTCTTTCCTCCATGTCTGCGGGCAGGACTCACTCTATGTCAAGGCTGCCAGTAGTGGCTGGGTTTGGAGGAAGGGAGGTTGGGAGAGCATTGTTCTGAAACCAGGGAAACCACATAAATTCACCAGAGAACAAACATGGTCGTCCTCTGAAGCCCTGAACTCTGGGAAGTGGCCTGTGGCATAGTTATTATCAATATTAAAAAGACGGTGGGTAACCAATGCTGGTGAGGGTGTGGAGAGAAGGGAACAATCCTACACTGTTGGTGGGACTGTAAATTAGTACAACCACAATGGAAAACAGCATGGAGTTTTCTCAAACAACTGCAAATAGATCTTCCATACAATCTAGCAATCCCACTTCTGGGTATATACCCAGAGGAATGGAAATCATCATGTCAAAGGAACACCTGCACTCCCATGTTCATCACAGCTCTATTCGCAATAGCCAAGACATGTAACCAACCTAAATGTCCATCGATGGATGATTGGATAAGGAAACTATGGTATATATACACCATGGAATACTACTCAGCCATAAAAAAGAATAAAATACTCCCATTTACAACAACATGGATGAGCCTAGAGAAACTTACGTGGAGTGAAATAAGCAAAACACAGAAGGATGAATACCGCATGTGCTCACTCATAAATGGGAGCTAAAAGAGAAAGAAAGAAGGAAAGACAGACCACAGTAGTGCATTGGACTTGCAGAGGGAGAGAACATTCTGTGGGCTACAAAGTGGGGTGTGGGGTAAGGGGGAGGGGGAGGGAGGTTGGGGATAATTGGGCAGGGGAGATGGGGTACAAATGCAATTTGTGGTAATGGGTATGCTGCCAGTATGAATCTGGCCCTCACATCATGGGCATGAGGAGTGACAATCAGTTTTGTATCTCATGAATATCCATAACCAATAAAAAAAATGAAAAAGAATATTACACAGTAAAACTAAAAAAAAAAAAAAAAAGAAATATTGCCTGTCTGGTGTCATCAGCAGTCCTATCGAGCCAGGTAGCACTGTGATTGAAAAAGCACTAGCATCAGGCAGCCTACATTCAAATTCCGGTTCCATGACCTACTAACTCCTAAATGGAAGAAGTTGCTAGAACTTCCTGGGCTTTATTTTTCACATTTGTGAAACAGATATTAAAATAATACCTATAGAGGTTCTACTTTGAAATGACAGTGTGAGAAACTCTAGACCCACTTCCCCAAAATGATTCATACCTGGTGAAATTCCAGCATTTCTCACCTCCTGCCTCCAGAGTTACAGAAGCTAAATTCTTGGCAGGTGCATCCAAGAGATGAGGGCTTTCTTTCTCCCCGTCCCCATTTAGAGAGTGGAGGCTTCACCTGAGCCATGACAAGCCAAGAATGTTGGGGTCCAGATCGACCTCATCCCAGCTCACTCATAAGGTAGAGGTTCCACACTGGAAGATTCAAGCTGAGAAGACCAGAAGCCACTGCTCTTGCCCAGCAGGGGTGTCATCCCAAGAGAAGGAGGCCACTATCTCAACCACCAACTCCGGAGCAGGTACTCAGAGATTTAGCACAAAGCAGAAGCAGTCCTAAAGAACAGAGAATTCTGCAACCCCCTCCAAAGGCACTGACTTGGAAACAGAGTGTGGGGAAGGACAAGTGTAAGAGTTCTCTAGAAACAAAGAGGACTTGTTGGTTAGCAATCAAGAGGAGACGGCTAGCTCTGTGAGAGCAACAAGTCAAACCATGGGCTAGCAAGTTTACCAGAGAGAACCAGTAGAAGATCACAGCTGAGAAGAGCCCTTCCAGGATTAGAAAAACCCTCAACGACTGGCCGCAACAACTATCTGTGAAAAGGGGACCCAATTTAGTTGGATCAGAATGTGTAGTGATTAATGTCACAGGGCATTATAGAAAATGATAGGAATCAGCTGGAAAATAGTGGAGCCTAAAAGATGGATTTAATCTTAGCAGAGGCTGACACTGTAACAGAGAGATCAGAAAAATAGCCTGCCAAAAGAGCCCTGCTAAAACCATTGTCATCCCAGAGTGACTGTGCACATGTCCAAGGTCATGCCCTCTGAAGAGCGGCATCAGAGGTATAACACTGGGGAAGAGGATTGAACTTCATTGAAATTATCCAACCAAGTCAATAGGCAAAGAAAACAATAAAAACAATCCCTGGGGGCCAACCCCGTGGTGCACTCGGGAGAGTGCGGCACTGGGAGCGCAGCGACACTCCCGCCGCGGGTTTGGATCCTATATAGGGATGGCCGGTGCGCTCACTGGCTGAGCATGGTGTGGGCGACACCACACCAGGGGTTGTGATCCCCTTACCAGTCATGAAAAACACACACACACACACACACACACAAAACCAATCCCTGGAAGGAGAAGTGTTAATATTCAGAGTTGCTACAATACATTATCAAAAATGTCCAGTTTTCAACAAAAAATAATGAGACATGCAAAGAAACGGGAAAATGTGACACATACACAGGAAAATAAAGCAGGCAACCACAGCTGCCTGTGAGAGGGCAAGGACATTGGATTCAACAGACAATGCCTTCAAAGTAGTCAATATAATTATGTTCAAAGACCTAAAGGAAATCATTTTACAGAAGTAAGGGAAGGTATGATTATAGTATCTCATCAAACATGAAATACCAATAAAAAGATAAAAATTTAAAAGAACCAAGTGGAAGTTCTGGATTTTGAACTTGTAATAAATAAAATGCAAAAGACAAAGTCACTAGAGAGGCTCTACAGTAGATCTGGAAGGGGAGAAGAAAGAATCGGCATTCTTGAAGACAGATCCATAAAGATTATGTAATCTCAAGAACAGAGAGAAAAGATCATGAAGGAAAATAAACAGGGTCTCAGAGGAATGTGGAAGACCATGAGGTGCACCAATGTGTACATAGTGGGAATTAAGGAGAGGAGAGAAAGGAGCAGAGACATATCCAAAAAAACAGTAGCTGAAGACATCTCGAATTTGATGAAAAACAATAATCTACACATTTAAGATGCACAGTGAACTCCATGTAACATAAACAGAAAGAGACCTTCACTTACAAACAACGTAGTTGGAAGACAGAACAAAAACTGAAAGCAGCAAGAGAAAAAGGAGTCATTATGTACAAGGAAATGCCAATAAGATTAACAACTGACTGCCATAAGAAATAATTCAGGCCAGAATGCAGCGGAATGACAATTATAACAATGTATTGCTGGGTGTTTACCAAATATGCAGGTGATAGGTAAAGCAATAATAGCACAAAGAAAGGGGGAAAGGCATAGAGCTGAGAAAGAGTATGTTTCTATGCCTCACTGGAAGTAAGTTTTTATAAACCTGGAATAGATCCTGGTAAGTTAAGATGTGTAGGGTGAACCCTAGAGCAACCTCTAAGAAAATAAAAATACATGAGGGTGTTTCAAAAAGTTTGTGGAAAGATTCATAGTATCTTTTAATTCTATTTTCCATGAACTTTTTGAAGTACCCTTGTATAGTGAAAATATCCTTAAAGAAATTAAAATGTTATTCGAGAAAGTACCCACTTAATCCAGAAGGGTACGGTAAAGAAGTGAAGGAACAAAAAAAGAGACAGGAGACATATAGAAAATAAAAAGCAAAGTGGCATATATAAATCTAATTACATCAAGAATAGCATTAGGTGTGAATGTATTGAATGAACCAAATAAAAAGCAGAGATTTTTCAGACAGGATGTAAAAACAAGATCCAACTATTTCCTGTCTATAGAAGACACACTTTAGATTCAAATATGCAAATAGGTTGAAAGTAAAAGGATAGAAAACATATGTTCCAAAAATAGGAAACATAAAGAAACCGGAATGACCGTATTAATATCAGATAAAATAGACTTTAAAACAAAATGAAACAAAAGTTAATAGAGACAAAGAGGGACATTTTATAATGATAAAAGGGTCAATTCTTAAAAATGCATAACAATTATATATGCACGTAACACAGCCCCAAAATACACAAAGCAAAAACTGACAGAATTGAAAAGAGAAAAACAACTCAATAACGATGGTTAGTAACGTTCATACCTCACGCTCAGTAATGGATAGAGTAACTAGGAACGTGAAGAAATTGAACCCTCAGACATTGCTGTCGTAAAGTGGTGCAGATGCTTTATAAAACAGTCTTGCAGCCCTCCAAATGGACTCCAAAATGCAGTCCTCCAAACTGTAAACTTAAAGTTACCATATGACCCAGCAATTCGATTTCACTCCCAGGGATATACCCAAGAGACGTGCAAACACATGTTCACACAAAAACTTACACACAAGTGTTCATAGCAGCATTATTTATAATAGACAAAAGTAGAAACAACCCAGTCATCACGACCTGAAGAATGGATAAATAAAGTGTGTGTTACATTCATACGATGTCAAATTATTCTACAATAAAACGGAGTACTGCTCATGGTACAGCATGCAGGAACCTTCGAAAGTCTTTGCTAAGTGAAAGAAAAAGCCAGTCATAAAAGGCCACATGTTGTCTAATCCATTTACATGAAATGCTCAGACGAGGCAAATCTTTAGAAACACAGTATAGGTGAGGGTTTGCCTAGGGCTGGGGATGTGGGGGAATGGGAGTGACTGCTAATGGGTGGGGATTCTTTCTGAAGTGATGAAAACATTCTAAAGTCGATTGTGGTGATTCCTGCACAACTCTGTAAATATACTAAAAATCATCGAACTGTACATTTTAAAGAAGTGAATTTTATGACATGCAAATTATATCTCAATAAAGTTGTGATGGAAACAAAAAATAGTAGCTATAATATTGAGCTATTGGACAAATTAAATGAAATGATACTCATGAGAATCCACACTCAATAAATAATAGTTGTCATCTCTTTTAGAGGCTCCTGGGCAGAGCTGGTGGAAAGCATCCATTCATTTCAGTTCTCAGGGTGATGTTGCCATGTGCAATGCCATGCCATGGACCTGCTCTGTAGCCAGCCTTTGCCTTCTGCTTTCCTTTTTCTAGGGAAGAGGACCTTTTGTCCGAGGAGAAAAGGGTGAAAAGGTAAGCATCTCCTTTTTATCGCATTTCTCCAAGGGAGCAGGATGGGGGGACATTGGTTTAGGAAAGGTGCATGCTGCCTTCCACTGCCTGGAAAGAACTTGAGCAGGGGAGAAGAGGTCTTCTAGGCTGAGTGCCCAGCCTCAGTGTGTGTTCCCCTGTCATGAGTGGTAGAAGCAGGTACAGTTGCAGCAAGAGAAATGATGGAGAACAGGAAGTGGTGTTTGGGAGAACTGAGAAGTAGGACCCACGTGTCTTGCGGGATTCAGAGAATATTCTGTTGGACTAATTGATATTTGAGCTGCACCCTAGAAGTGGAGGCCTTGTTTGCAGTAGCATGAGGCCATTGAAGGGTCTGTGCATGGTCAGGGAAGCTAAGAGTTTTCAAATAGCAAGTGCCAGATAGATCTGAGAGGAGAGGGAGCAGAGAAATTTGGGGAAGATTCAGGAGTTGATTGCGTAATTTAAAGGGGAGGTGATGAGGGACAGAGACAGTGGTGGCAGCAAAACTGGACAGGCAAGGAGTGGAAGAGAATTTGCAGGAGGCCTGAAAGTGCTCTCCTCAGCTACAAATGCTGCACCTTATTTTACCTTCATCATAACATGTGCAAGCTCGACACTTCCTGGGAAATGTGGGATTCCTTTGGAAGAGGAAATCTGTCTTAAGGTGTTAGCTTATAAGAGGAATAAAAGGTGGAGTGTCACTAAAAATGTTATTTTTCACTCATACTATTAAAAAAATCCTTCTATTTCCCTGGAGAGGCAATTTATGGTGCAAATTTATGTCGATCATTTCATCAGAGTCCAGCACCTGTAGACTCAGAATGAAGGGCTGTTGGATCCTAGGAGGGTATCCCTTGCACAGAGCAAGTCACATCAGCCCCTTGCATAGGGCTGGTCATGTAACCAAGGCGCCACCCATTAAGTGAGAGTGAAACAGCTTTCATGTGGCCAGTCCATTCTCTCCCTGTAGGTACTCTTTTATTTAGTACTTTCACGTCAAGATTTATTCTAAGGACATAAAATGAGGCTATGTACAAGTACATACCACATGTACTTTATAAATGAGACTAGAAACAAACATAGACGTAATTTATATGTGAGACCAGAAACAAACATAATGCCGTGCATTGGGAAAAAGGTAACATACATTACTGTGCAGCTAAATAAAGCAGCAGCATTCAGCGGTGCAAAATCACATTTAGGAGAATAATTAACTACCTAGAAAATGCAGACAATATTTTGTCAGTTTATAAACCACATTGCAAAATGTATGTGTAATATGACCCCGTGTGTGTGTGTGTGTGTGTGTGTGTGCGCACGCACGCGCACACGTGTGCATGTGTGTGACAGAAAGGAGGAAAGGGAGAGAAATTAATGCTGGGGACAAACCTCTATTATTAACCACTGGTTGTCTTCTGGTGACAAAGTTATGAGGGTATTCATTTTCTCCCTTACACTTCTTTGTGTCTTCATTTATTCCACAATGAACTTCTCTCTCTCAGTGCATTTAAAGCACAGGCACACACACCATAACTACTGCAGGAGAATAAAAAGCAGCGTGAGAGGTAGCGTGACATATTGCAAAAAATAAGCTGTGCAGCCAGGCAGATCCAGTTCTTGTCTCCACTCTGCCACTCTCTAACTCTGCAACCAATTTTTGAGATTCAGTCTCCTGATACCTAAGAATGGGGCTAACTGCAGTCACCACCCATGACTTTCACGTGGTCTACAAGTAGCACCCGGAACCTAGGCTCTCCAATTCAGCAGCTACTTCCTTGTTTCATTTTTCAATTTGTTTAGTTCTGTATTGTTGTGGTAAGAACACCTAACATGAGATCTACATTTTTAATAGATTTTTAAGCATACAATACAGTGCTGTTGACTGTAGGTTCAGTGTTACACAGCAGATCTCTAGAACTTACTCATCTTGCTTAACTGAAATTTATGCCTGTTAATAAGTATTATACAAGCAACTCCCCATCCCCCCAAACCCTGGAAACCATTATTCCACTCTTTGATTCTAAGAATTTGACCATTCGAGTTACCTCGTCTAGTGGAATCGTGTAGTATCTGTCTTCTGTGCCCGGCTTATTTCACTTAGCATAATGCCCTCCAGGCGCATCCATGTGGTCACAAATGACAGGTTTTCTTTCTTTTTAAAGGCTGAATAATATCCCATTGTGTACATATTCCACATCTTCTTTAACCCTTCATCCACTGATGGACTCTTAGGTTGTTTCCATATCTTGGCTACCATGAATTATGCTGCAGTGAACATAGGGGTGCAGACATCTCTTTGATATTCTGATTTCAACTCTTTGGGATGAATACCCAGAAGTGGAATTGCTGAATCATATGGCAGTTCTATCTTTAATCTTTTGAGGAACCTCCATACTGTTTTCCACAGTGGCTACAACATTTTGAAATCCCACCAACAGTGTTGAGTGGCGATTTTTTGTGCCAGCAAGCTCACTTCCAGTGCATGCAGACCAGAGCACAGGGTATAACGGGACAGCCAGGTATTTCTCAGTGTCGGGAGCTGGGACTGCCGGGGCCCTTCAAGTCAGAATACTTGATCTGGGGGATGCTTGCTTGGCAATACCACGTGACTCTGTGGTCTTCCTGTGTTCCTCCTGGGCCAGCCTTTCCTCCTTCTGATGTATTGTCCTTTATGTGTGTTCATGTCCCCAGGCAGGGACCGACAGCCTCCTTTCTACCCAGGGGCAGCAGGTGCATCTCTGCCTCATCAGTTGTGGGTTGGGCTCACGACGGAAGCCTCAGTTGCCTGCGTCCTCACACCGGAGGCACTTCCCGTGTGCCCAGAGCCCTGCCTGCAGCACCACATTGGAGAACCAGGACACCTCCTCATGTATTTGGTGCTGGCAGGAGAGGTGGACTGCTGAGCAGGCTCCGGCACTTCTGGCTCTGTCCTTGGTTGACATTTCCCTGCAGCTGGCATTTTTAGCAAAGTCTGAGTCTAGATTCTGCCACAACTTAGCTGTGTGATGAGGAGTGAGTCAGCTCCATGTCTGGTCTCGGCTTCCTCATCTGTAAAAATGAGGGGGTGGGATGAGATGAGGCATAAAGGCCCCTTCAGGTGGCAGCTCTAGGATTTGGTAATCATTCCCAGTGCCCTGGTTCTTAGGCTGCCTCTGCCCCTTGTTTTGGAAGCTCGCCTCCTCTCTGGCTCCTGTTTGTTCTCATATTCACCACAGGGATCCTGGGGCAAATGTACCTTAGCTTAGTAATAAAGCTAAAGTAAAGGAGGAAGGTAGCCTTTTAGGGGATGCCCAAAAGAGCTACCCACAGTCTAGGTGTTGGGGTGTGGAAAAAAGAAAAGGGCGGAGTGGATCCTCATTCAAAATGTCTGGGAGACAGCTGGCACTAAATAAATGCTTGCCAAATGAATGAACGGATTGTGGATCTTCATATATCAGTAGAAGGAGAATAGACTCTGGAATTGAACAGATCCAGCTTCAAATTCTGCCTCTACCTCATCTTAAACATGGGTCTATTCTTGGGCTACTCTGAGCCTCAGTTTCCTTTTCTTGAAAAGGGAATAATAATAGTTCCTAGCATGTAAGATTGCTGGGAGGGCGAAAGGAGAAAAGACACATCAAGGGTTCGACACATCGGCTGGCACAGCAAGTGCTCAATGACCGGTGATGTTGTTCTTGTTAATCGATCATAGTTTTTAATGCTGTCATGGTAGTGATGATGATGATGACACACAGCCACTGCTCTGGGCTGGTTTGGAGCAATTTAGGGTAGAGTTGGAGATAGCGGGGAGGGGGTGATGACCTCCTCTGACGCCTCTGGTCTCTCGGTTCTTCCATCTTGAGAAAATTACTAAGTACAGTGAGGACATTGGTAAAAGGTTGCCTTTGTGTGGGCAGCTGAGTCTGCCCATGTTTTGTGGCGGTGCAGCTGGCAGAATCAACTGGACCATGAACCCCACGATAGTAAAAGATTTAGAAACAACAAAAACAATGGCAAAGTTTGTGGCTTCCAGTAAATTTCCTGTGGTGCGTCCTGAGGGTCCTTCTGCTGTGGGGGGACCAGAGCCTTCTAGGGAGGAGCCAGCAGAGACACCCACCCCGTGGTTGCCCCTTTCTGGGCCCGCAGCTCCCTCTAGTGTCCCGAAGCCAGAGCGTCCGCTCCGGTTTCCTCTTTGTAGATTTGTGCTGTTCCCGGGTTATCCTCTTTTCCTTAGAAACCTGGCGTCTGGGAGGAAGGAGAGCAAAGGCAACCTTGATTTTGTGCTCAAACGTGGGCTCAGGTGACAGAAAGAAGGCAGGTTTGGGAGTTGGACAGACTGGGTTTGGATCCCATCTCTGCCAGGGACTGGGTGATTCATCTCTGTTCAGTGTCGCTGAGTCTCAGCAACTCATCTGTAAAGTGCAGCTATCAATGCCAACCTCCTAGGGCTCTTGTGAAAATTACAGGACGTTGGTAAGGCCTGTGAAAGCACCTTGCTTAGTCCATGGCACACAGTAGGTGCACGTTAAAAATCCTTCCCCTTGCATTTATTTTTCTTTTTCTGCTGGAAGCCATTGCTAAAATCCATCCGAGAGTGACATATCAGTTACTTCAATAGATAATATTCAAGGACCTAACATGTGGGCTAGAGCTGTGAGTTCACCCGGGTTGAACCTGGGTCTGTCCTTCTCCTTACTGTGCCTTCAGTGAGTCAGGCTGTGCCATCTCTATGACCTCTTCCTCCTTGTCACACAAGTAGAGGGCAACGATGACCTTAAGAAACTCTGCCTGGTCCACAGGGTGTGTTGGGAGTGGAATAGGGGACAGTGGTCACATCAGAAAAGTGCCTTAGAGGTTTCCTGGGATACTTGGTGTTGTATTTCTCATGGCAGGGGGTTAGGTAGGAAATAAAACTCCCCCAAAAGTGCAGCTTTTGACTCACTAGTTTTACATCCAGGAAATTATCATAAGCATAATTCTCATAAAGGGAAAAACAGAAACAAGCAAAATGACCCTAAGCA